TTTTTTAAGGTTTTTGGTCCTTAGTTGGGGAAGTTTATTCAGTAGTGAGACATTTTTGAGGTTTGGAAAATACTAGGAATGTTAGGCAGGAAGAGACAGGTTTTGAGGCAATGATTTGTTACTTGTGGATCCTCACTGTGGACACGTGAGGTTGCGTGTGAGAGAGAGAGGGAAGATGAAGGGTTATATTGGTACTAAATCTTTTGAGTGACTGTTAATATGACTGACAGTGAATTTTTAAGTTAAAATTGATGTGATTTTTCTGGGTCATTAATAAACATAATCAGAAATCTGTGGCTATTAGGTCATTTTACGGGGAGGTAGGGTTTTTCCAATCTTGATGGGAACTTAGTCATTTAATGACAAGAATTCACTTCTGGCCACTTCTTTTTTTAAAAAATTAAGAATGTGTCACATTTAAGTTGCTGGGTGTCTCTATTAGAGGTTTTGAATGGCCAGGCACACATTTTTTTTAGCATAAGCACTGGTAAATTCAGATCTGAAATACTCTTGTCATCTTTCTGTTTCTGGCTTGTTAACATCCACAAAATACAGAATGGTTTTCCCAATGCAAAGTGGCCATTACTTTGAACCAGTTATTCTTAGGCATTAGTTGCTGATATCCTAACATTTAAGTTTTTTGTGAGTTGTCGTAGTTTTCATGATATGCCATGAACTTACATGTGTTGTTGATATTGAACATTTTATTGTTGCCGAACCTGTTTTATGGTCATTGAATGTGGAACAGAAGAAGCGATATTGGAGAAAACATTAAAGGTTTGCGAAGACATGGTGGTGAGTTTGCTGTTACTAGCAGAGAAGCTTTTGAACAATACTGCTAAGGAATTGATCTAATGAGATTTGGGATGTTTTTTAAAATTAGTCAGCATTAGTGTAATATTCATGCAGGGAGCATTTGTAATGCCCACAAGAATGTGCTGGTGGAGGGATCAGATTCCAGGCTAACCTTCGGTTGCTTTCAGTAGTTGACATAATGCACACCTGTGTGTTCTCTTCCCTGACCCCAGAACTGTTTTGAAAAGCTTCTGACATCTGGGGGTGTGAAAAAGAGCAGATTTTGATTTGTTTTCTGGCAAGTAGGAGAAGTTCTAAGTGGGGTGTTTTACCTGTGTATGGTACTTGCAGTGAGGGACTTGATTTATCTTCTATTCTTCTAGACAGCTAAAGGATAAAACCTCCGAGGTTCTGTGATAGATTAGATTTTTCTTGAAGCATTTTAATGTGCTGGAGGTGGAAATACACACACACACACACACATATATATTTACATAAGAAGTGTAAATAAATGTAAAATAGCACCCAGGTTGTGTTCCTTTTTCTCAGAAGGAATCATTTAGGAATGATCTCTCCAAATAGTTAAATTGTTTTTTAAGTAGGAATAGTGCTGACAAAGAAAACTGGTCTCATTCAGCTTTACCTTTTACATAGTGATAGGTAAAGCTCCCCTTGATAAACATACATTTGTTCAATATTAATATTACCCTAAACGTTGTCACTTAAGGGAAAAGATCAGTTTATCAGTAAATTTACTTTGAACTTGAATCACACTGTAATAACTTTGGTAACTGAAGCAGTTGGCCTTTTAAAATATATTGTAATTTATATCTTTAATACTTAAGGTATAAAATGAAATGCTTAATGTTTTTATATGTCAGCGTCCCTGGGATCCTAGACTGATTTTTATTAAGTTCACAGATTTTTCTTGTCAGAATCAAGGTTTACTTGGTTTGGCATTAGCAGCTTATTCCTTGCAATCCATTTAATTAAGTAGCTTCGGCTGTTTATCCTAAAATGCAGATAAATGGCTTTCAGCACACTGTTTATAGTTTAATAGTTCCTGAAGTGAGTCAGCATTATCTGCTAGCGTCTACATGTCATAACTAATGATCTCTCTGCTTAGACTTTCTTGCTAGTGAGGAGACACTGAATTCAACAAAGGCAAGAGCCTAGCAAAGTTGGGGGGCTAATGGTTGTTTGGGAGGGTGCCTATTGGATAAGGCTTGCTTTTCCTCTTGTTGGTATGAAATTGGAAGAGAACTATGTTACCTTGACCACAATTTTAGCACGCATGAAAGCTGTCACAAAGTGCTGTATTCTAAAGACGGGGGTGAAAATATTTTAAGAAGTAGCTGTCAGAGGTATTTGTTTTATTTCAGATCATCTATCAAATTAATAGTTAGCACAAGTTGAACACTTTTCTGGTCAGGCTGTTTGACATGATGATAGAGCATGGGAGTCATCAGCAAATTTTCATATTACTACCAAGCAGCTACTGTGGTTTTAATGATGAAAGCAAATAATTTTTGTCTGCCAAGAAAGATGGAAAGAAAATAAATAACATTAATTATTAAGTAATCATTTATCATAAATTCACCCTATTCATTCTGAGAGATCATCACGCTCTTTCCTTAGGGAAAAGAACAAAATAAAACAAAGAACTTCTGTGAGACTTTGCTCCTAATGAGGATCAAAAGGCCTGATGACCACACTAGTTAAAGTTGATAAGTTTTATCAATCTCTCACTTATTAAATAATAAGAATTCTTGCCTTCTATACTGAATTATTTTCTGGGTGTTTAGTTAGAGAATAGGGCATTCTGTAGGTAAACATAGAGAATGCTTTCGTAATAGCTGAAATACCAACTCTTGCATTTGGTGAAATACTTTGTTTGATCTCATACGTTCTTTGTGAATGTGGAAAACTTTCTGAGTAGATTAAGGGAGGCCCACCGTCCTTTGCTCCCATACTCGTGTCCCTAGTCTCTGGGGGGCACTTTGGTAATTTAAATAGAACATGAGTGAGTATATATTTCTTACCTTCTTAGTCTGATTCTGAAGTTTAAGTTCATATACCCAACTTACCAAAATATTTCAAGGCAAAAAATATAACACCATAGTAGATACATCTCTCTTGTGTTGATGTGATTTAAAATACAGAAACATCTGAAGAAAGAGTTTATGAGAGGTAATTATATTTCATCTGGCATCCCTGCATTCAGATTTTTCTTTGGTTGTTTGTGTATCAGGAGATCCCATACTGATAACTATTTGAAAGAGGAGGAAGGAAACATTTTGGCCTTAGAATATAATGTGTGGGCTTAGAATACATTGTTAGCATAAATGAGGAGATACAAATTGGTTAAGAAGTACAAAGGAAGAGAATTTAAATGTAAGAGCTGGGCTACTGAGTCTACTAGGCTTGATGCAATTTAAAAAAATAAAAAATAATAAAATTGCTTTTGGAGAATGTTTTGAAAACTGAAGCCATTTGTTTATCAAAAGAGGGACAGCTTGAGCAGTATCAGGCCAGAATGTTCCAATGTGTGCCATTCTCAGATTTAAGATAACACAATCATTAGAATAACATAGCCTCAGTTCAGATCTTTCTTCAGTGTTTCTGCCCAAAAGTCAACAAGATTGTCTTTTGGCAACCTTATTACTATAAATCAAAGCAAAGTAGATGGTGGTAAAATTCTCGGCATTATTTTAATGGCCAATTAAGTGTAATTTCAGAAAAAAATTATTTTTCAACTTTAAAGTCAGGTCTGTATGTTGTTAATCATGTACATACCCAGGACCCAGTTCAGCCATCTTGTTTTGTTTTGGGTGTATAAACTGGATTATGGGAATAGTTAGGAGAAGGTGAATAGAACATGTGCCTTGTGGCATACCTCCTAAATTCTGGTCTTCCTTTGGCTGGCCTGAGAGTATTACTTGGAACTCTAAATGCAGTATTATCTCTAACACCAAAGTCTGAATATAAGTTTTATGATTTGTCAGATTCTGATTAGAGGGAATGTTCTTATGGACACATGAATTTTTTTTTTTTTTTTGCTCTGTTGCTCTTAGTATATATCATACAGAGTTTTTCAAATATTTTTTTTTTGTAAACTGCTTGGCTTAGCAGGTAATTAATATGTAATCAACGGATATATAGTAAACATGTTCTTTAATGTATATATTTAAACTTGATTTACACTTTGAAATTGATATATTTTCTTCATCTCTTCTTGTGCGTATAAATGAAATTTTTTGTTTTTATTTTTTAACCATCTGCTATGAGGAAAGGGTATCTGTTTTTTGGATAAGGTTTTATTTATTTAAAATGGCACAGATAGTAGCCTGGGAGCCAGATGTTTTGTGTTTATATAAAGTGTAAAAGGAAATGGAGTGTAAGCGTTGGTGTGAGTGAATGGTCAGCAGCCCTTTTATGACAAACGCACCAGAACAGCAACAGGAAGTAACTTCCATTCCACTGTCCGCTACTAGAGTTTATGGATCCTGAGTGTGGTGGCCATGTTTTTCTTCATCTCAGTGAAATCAAAGTGCCTTGTGGACAACCTTAGGAATGATACATGTCTCTTAAATCAAGTTGGACTTGCTAGCAATTTCATGCTGGTTAAAATAAATATTTTATGCTCATTTAACCATACACGATGAGTAAGACAGTTGTGTCTCAAATACTGATTTTATATCAAAAATTTTAATAAGTCAGATGATAACAGTGGATTTAATAAAAAGAAAAACTTAATGCATGCATTTGGATTTCAGTTTTCCCAACATTTTGAAAGGTTCCAGCTTCTAAGAGGAGTTTGACTTCTAGGATTGATAAACCTCTTTAAAGAAAGGCTTAAAAATGTTTACATAGCTGATCAGTTTGTGAAGCTGTGCTTATTTTAAAATAAATTTAAGGGTTGCACATATAAGTACCATTCTGAGTGTCAAAAGGATAGTATCAAAAATAGATTTTTAGATATTTACGTGTCCTATATTTTTTCTTCCTTGCTTATAATCAGAGGCAGCTTTTAACCATCTGGAAATGATATATAATACACTGTGGTCAGTGACCTTTTTTTCTTTTCTTTCTTTTTATTTATTTTTTTGATTCTAAGGTTTCCTTTCTCTTTTACCTTTCCACTGTCATATGCCATGTATCCTGAACATAGCTCAATGCCTGACTGGAATAATCTCTCTTGCCAGCTTATAATCAAAGGGAGGACTGAAAAAACAGCTGAGCTGTATTAGGCGACCACAGTCTGGACTGCATTTCTTAACTGCTGAATAACACATCACAGGTGCAGGATTAGTGCTGCCTACGGTGCTGGTCTTTCTAGTGGAACCCCTAGCAATTCTGTGCCTCCTCCTCATGTCTCATCCCAGGGAACCTGGCAACGATCTATCAAGCGTACAGAAATCAAAAGTGAGTAGTGGGAGAAGCTTTGTATCTTGCAGAGCCTTGTTTTGCCCTCCAAAAAGTGTTAGCAAGACCAGTTAAGTCAGTGCTGGTGCACGCACATGCACACACACACACACACACACACACAGGATGATAGAACTTAATCTTTCTTGGCATAGAGGGTGGAATAGTTCAAGGTGTTCAAAAATTTTATGCACAAAAATCACATGTCAAGAAACTGTGGTTTGGCTTAGCTGTCCCAGCAGTCCATGTATATAATTCAGGATACTTTTAAACTCCTAAAATTTTTACAAATATTTTGTGCAGTATATGTATTGGAGTGGGGATGTGTATTTACCTTTACACACTATCCAGTGCTGTCATGGTTAAAATCAGGTGTTGTGGGTGTGTTACACCTTGTGGTGTAATTTAATTGTTTGTAGTTTTGACATTGGTAGTTCTGTTTGATCTGACATGTAACTCTAAATTCATAGATTATAAAGATCAAGGTTGCTTTCGTCCAAGTTGGGTTTTTAAAAAAGGCAAAAGTATGTTAAAAGTATAATTTAAATATTAGAACAAATGAATGTTTTGAAACTATAGTTACTAAACCATTTCCTTTTGATCAAGAAGGTTATGAATGATTTTAGTGAGGTACATATACACTCAGAAACAAAGGCAAGTATATTTTAGTATTCATGTCAGTTTTGGTAACTATCTTAGAAAACATTTTTATGAAGCATAAGACATACATGTAAAAAAAGCCATGTAGACAGCACTGTAGATTTTGAGCAGTTGTTTTCTTACAGTTTTTCTCTGAAAACTATGATGGCTTTCTAGGACTCAGATTTTGTTTGAATACATGTGTTGTTGGTTACCATTATTCCATATTGTTTCACCGGAGAGAAACCTTTGAAGTTATTGATGATGATAGTAGTTGATAATAGTGTATCATTTCAAGTTAAGACTTTAAAAAATGTGTATATATAGTCCATATGTTTTATGTCTCATATATTTAAACACTTGAAGTGGCAATATATTTGTATTTGTAGGCCAATATGCACCTTAACTAGGGTGCATCCTTAACAGCTATCCAATTAGAGGTTATAGAAACTATTAGAAACAAAGAAATCCTAAATGCTTTCCAAGTTTTTCCTTTGGGGAAAACGAATAGCATAGACATGTGATTTGGTTTCTGACAATAAAGTGGCTTTATTGTCACTTGTCTCCTTTATAGGAGTCTGTTCAAAGTAGTTTCATACATCAAGCAGTCTTGGGAGTGTTTGTGAAGCTGCAGAGTAAGTTTTGGTGTGGGGCAAGTTGAACATCTACTTTGATAAACTTCAGAATCAGGTGAAGCAGAGCACTGGTAGGAGTCACTGAATAAAGTCAGTAACGCCTGATGTGGAAATCTGCCAAGTCCAGGTAGTCCAGGTTGATTCTGACAGTGTTGTCACGGGGACTGTTGGTTTGGTTTCTTTCCCAACAACATGGGTTTGAACAGATATAAAATACAGAGATGCTTTTGATTTTTTTTTAAAATTAATGTTTATTTATTTTAGAGAGAGAGAGAGAGACAGACAGAGAGAGACAGAGCATGAGCAAGTGAGGGGCAGGAGAGAGGGAGACACAGAATCCAAAAAAGGCTCCAGGCTCTGAGCTGTCAGCACAGAGACTGACACAGGGCTCGAACTCACAAACCATGAGATCATGACCTGAGCCGAAGTCAGAGCTTGACCGACTGAGCCACCCAGGCATCCCTTGATTTTTAAATCATCCTATCAGCTGTGATTATGCTATTGTAAGGATATTAAGTATTTGACGTTAAATCATTTTTAAACACAGTGGCCACTTGCTTGTCAAATTCATTATTTCTTATACTGATACTTTTATTAAGATAACTATAACCCTGTTGTATTTTTTAGTATTTTCAAAGATTTTTCAATTATATGAATATTTTGGTTGATTTTCTCTAAACTCAGAAACATACTAAAACCTGAGGGAAAGGTTAATTGCTGTTTAAAAAGTATACATGTGATGTCCAAAGAGGTATTTTCTGTTATAATCAATTGTTGTGTTTACTCCGGCTCATAGCTCTACATTAGTTACCTCCGGCACACATGAATATAAATGTGTATGTTGTCTGCTTACTTTTATATAATATTTAATCTTTTCATGATTTGCTCAAGTCATAATCTAGCATCCCATAAAATAAAATACTTGAATGATGGAAGCTTTCACTTTTTATCCAGATGTTTTGGGGTCTCTTGGCAGGGCTTTTATGATGTAAAATGTTGAAAACATGATTATCCTACAGAACCTGAGTGATGTGGTAATGTGAATGTGTGAGTCTGGTGAAAACAGAAACAATTGCAGTAAATGGAAACATGTAGAAATGTTTTATGATAAAAGCCCTAGTTCCTGTAGAGAGCCAGCACATCGCTAACATTTTTAAACTAATATGTTTTCTTAACCTACTCAGCTGCGTCAACAGTAAACCACCGAAATGAACACCTGTCAGTATGCCTGGCGGTGGTACTTATGTTTTCAGTAAGAGATATTGCTGCCACCCATAGTAGTCTTCCCTCCTATGCACTCTTACCTAGGACTTCTATTTGACAATTATATGTGGCATTATGACATCTATTTGATTGTTTTCATATACTGTTTTATGGTTTTCCATATGTAGTTGATTTGTCTCACCATGTTCCACATGTAGTCGATTTGTCTCAGCAGCAAGATTGTCATTTTGTTGGGGGCCTTTCAGGAGCTCTGGGCCATTGTGTTATGTGGATGGGATGGATTTAAAGATTATTTGCTAAATAAATTAATGCAGAGCAGGAAAAAGGAAAATCAATGACAATATATTAGTTGTCTTTGCACAAACTCTCCATGTTTCTTGAACCCCAAACCCTGTATTTTATAGACTTTTTGCTCACAAGGATGAGTCTAGGAAGAAAGAGAAACTAAAAGTAAGTAAAATGAAACAAAAGAAAGGAGAATTGAAGAGAGAAATTCAGGATGAGAGCAAGAGGATGGGGAAAGAAGAAAAAGAAAGAAAAATAGAAAATAAAAATGTAGGCGATGAAGGAGTAGGGACAAGGAACAAAAACTTGAGGTGGAGAAAGAAAAAGGTGGAGAATGAACATACAAGTTGAAAAATAAGCTTAAGCATTGCAGCAAATGACAGCGATTTACTATAGTTCGTGCTTTCTACTTGCAAGGAGCTATGGCTGGTCTTTCCTGGGAACATCTCTTCCAGTCTTCGTAGCAAACCAGTGAGGGCCACTGCTCGTGTACGGAAGGCCAAGTGACTCGCAGAGGGCACAGACCCAGGGAGTAATGGGGTTTGTACTGTTTTGACTGTTTTATCCTTTGTCTTGGTCAAGTCTGGGCCCACTGCTTGGTGACCAGACCTGATACTGATTTCTCATCTGACATTTTATCTCCCTCCATAGCATTCTCAGGAACTCACCACAGACTCTTACTCTCTCTCCTCTGACTTCTGAAACTCTTGAAGGAGAAAGATTCATGTGCCAATGACATTACAGCTAACAAGTGAAAGTCTACTCTTCCCTTAAGATACATGATTTTGCTTTGGTGTTTTTGAATCAGAATTGTATTTGTATTTGGGTACTTTTTTAAAATGTTTTATTTATTTCTGAGAGAGAGAGGCAGCAAGAGCAGGGGAGGGTCAGAGAGAGAGGGAGACACAGAATCTGAAACAGGCTCCAGGCTCTGAGCTACCTGTCAGCACAGAGCCCGACGTGGGGCTCTAACCCATAAGATCAAGACCCATAAGATCTTGACCTGAGCCAAAGTCGGACGCTTAACCGACTGAGCCACCCAGGCGCCCCTGTATTTGGTTACTTTTAAGAGTTTAGGCACATATCCCTTGTATTGATGACTGGTTGTTGTTTTGTTCCTATATACTTTTTCTAAGTTTTTATTGCAGACAACATGGGAAGGTTATTTGAAAATGCCTTCATACAATAATAGAGGTTTGACAATGAAAATTGAAGTTGGGCCTTTTGAACTGAATAAACTTATTAGATAGTAAATTAAATCACTGAACTGAGTTAAAGGATTCAGGTTTAAATGAAGACACTAAAAATTAGTTATCTATTTAAACTCATTATTTGCTATCACTAGAGCTATTTTAAAGATTAGTATTATTTATAAGCTCTGACTCAAATTTTATCCCTGTGTATCATAAACTTTTGTTTGTAACCAGTGTATTTTTGTTTGAGAAAGGGAATGGACATTGATTCACATTATTTATTATAATAACAACATGAATAAGAGTAGAATAGAGCATTTCCAAAACATTGCTGAGCAGTTCAGTACTTTCAAATGTTTCTTCACTAATCTTTTCACCCAGGGTACTTGAGATACAAACGTGTGTGATAGGAATTTCAGTTTCTCTTCTTGCTCCTGCCTGCCCTCTGGTGAAGATGGGGTAGAATAGTGAAGACACTTAAAATTTTGTTAAGTTTTGAGATATGCAGAGAGCTAAAAAAAAAAAAAAAAAAAAAAAGGAAAGAAGAATAAATTACTAGTAGATTCTGTGACACAAAATAATCATATGTCATCTGTCAGTGAATTTTGACGAGTCTAATCCAATTCTCATTGCAATTCTCATTGCATTTGTATTGCAACTTGTTTCCTTAATTATCTTTGTTGTTCATAAAGATTGTTCTGTGGCTTAATGTGACACTGGATTCTGATATTCTCCTCCCTATGACATATGAAGCAGTCTTTTATATCACAAACTCAAAATGGTTTTATTGTAATTTTGAAGTGATAAGAATGTTACTAAGAAAAAAAATAAATATAGTAAAATATACTTCAAGATATAATGGATGAATAATAAACTATATTTTAAAAAGGTATAATGGATTAATATGAAAGTTAAAATTTATCTGCTGGAAAGTTTTACTATTGTACATTCTTTTTTTACTTGTACTTTTATTTTTCGGTGTTTTCTGAGTTTTTGTGAAAATCTTGTTTCCTTTTTCTATAAA